CAAAAATATATTAATACAAAAAGTATTAGTGATCTAGTGATTCTTTTTCCACACATTAATTTTAAAACACTAAATTACCAGCCTTATAATTACATACTCCCTCCGTCCTTGAGTATTTATCTTTTTTGACTTTTTTTTGGTCAAAAGTGGTAAATGATATTGGATATTGATACAAAATCAGTTTTATTTGATTTATTATATCAATCATTTTCAAAATAGTATTTCATCTACTTAATATATAATATATATTTTATTTAATTATAAGTCTAATTTTGAAAACCAATTAATTGGAAAAAGCCAAAATTGGATAAATACTCAGGGACGGAGGTAGTAATTAAGCTTCTCATCCATAATCCCAACTACCCCCCACCCCCCGCAATGATTTTAAAAAATTATTATTCTTTCTTTCATTATTAAAAAACAAAATCTTAAGTTAGTGATCCTAAATCTCTATGAATAAAAATTTTAATTTTAAAATATTAATAATCAATTATTCTTCTCCCTCACATTTATTTTCAAAAAACATTAAAATGTTAGTGCTTGAATTATTTCAATCAAAATACAAATAGTTACAAATAGGAAATTGTATTTTCTTTGATGTGGTTCTAACATGTAACTGAGTCTCCAACTTATTATCTATTGCACCTTGGATTTTCTATACAATTTTTCTTACTTTTTTTATTATCTTAAATCTTCATTGTCACAAATCTTCTCACACTCCCTTCCACACCTTGATCTTCTTTGTCACAATCTTCTTTGCATAAATTTGTGTCGTTTTATAAAATGTCATCCTATGAATTAAGTTTCCATGTACGATTGTATTAATGAAAACATAGGAAGTAAGTTCTCTCTCATTCAAAATTTCTTAATTTTATGTATTAACATTTTGAATTGTAAATTTGTAACACAATATAAGTATTTACTGAGTAAATAGTAAGTTACAATATAAGATTATTTTGATTAAAATAGTAAATCAAGTTACCAAGATAAAGTATAAAAGACTTATTAAATCATTTTTCTAATTTGTTTGTTTTAAATATTCAATATTTTAAAAATAGTCAAATTGTATAAAAATATTTTTATTTCATATCATAATTATTCATCTTACCATAAACAAATCTTCTGGGTTAGATATATATCGAGTCAATCTCATGGTATACGTATAATCCATTTGTCTAAAAATAAAGTATATAATCATGGCACACATAATTATCTTAGAAAGTATAGTCTTAACTCTTTTAGTCACCTAATTATAAATTATAAATTTCTTTGAGGAATCTCAAAATAGTCTTTTCGAATAAGGTATTTTCCAAAATCAATGTTATAAAGCATTAATTATCTATGTAGTACTTTATAGTTGAAATTTATTCACTCAGTGTCCCCCATATGTTTGTTAAATGGATGTTCAGTGGAAAAAATTTAGCTATTTTCAACATTTAAATGTAGAGTATTTTTTAATATGACCCTTTCTGATTAACCTTTTTCTAATTTAGGTCTCTGTTATAATTATTACTCCGGAGTATAATTTTATCCCAATTGTGCATTTCGGGGCACCTTAATGTTTTGTGTCCCTCTATTAGCCACTCATGTTCACGCTAGTAAATTTTGAATGAGGATGACCTCGCCTCTGATCCCCCACTTCATATCTATGTAGAAGTTTTATAAAATTCACGTATGAAAAATATGTGATTCATTTTTTTGCAAATATTGTTTTGTTGTGTATATTTCATGTGAATATTTTTCTGTTTTTTTAAAAAAGTAGTAGTTGTGACTTCAATGAAGTCAGAAGTGAAATACCTATGATTATTTTAAAAATATTTTGTAATTTTTCTTTGTGAAAACCCTTGCAACTATATTTGTTTTGTTGTTTAAAAATAAATTCATATGAAGTGAAAAAATTTTTGGATGTAAAATACATGTGCTTATTTTTACGTGATAATTTTTTAAAATTTTATGTGAAAAATGTAACTATTATTTTAGAAGTTGATTTTAAATATTTATACTAATATTTAAATCATTTTAGAAGTTGATTTTATAAAATTTTTAATCAAAAAAATGAATATTAGTTCTCACTCAGTTGCATAAAATTTCATGTAGGTTCTAATTTCTTTAATAATACTCCTTCCGTGTTTGGATTTGATCTTCTCAATGGACTTTTCTTGTCAATTTTGTATACTTTAACCTCGATATATAGAACAAGCATTGTCTTTCGATAGAAATGCATTACCAATAACTTCTTTTTGAAACTAAGGAATATCTTAATGTTTGCTAGCTCCAATTTTGAAGATAAAAAATATGCATTTTTATTTTCGCATTTTCTCAATGGTTATTGCTATTCTGGTACAGAGTATTTTTTTCCAAATAATTTTTTACTGTTGTGAACTCAGTACTTTATTCATCATATACGGGAGTATTTATACATACACAGGAGGAGGTAAAGTCTAGGTCAATAAGGAAACAAGATATTCTAAATAATAGGAGTAATATATCTGCCATATTTAACACTCCCCCTCAGATATATCATCATTCATTATACACTAACAACATTATGCTACGAGATAATGTTGGCTAGGTTCTTCAGGACCTATATTAACTGATACTGCAGGACCAGTTATGCTGCCTCATTAAAAACCTTACTAAGAAAACCCAATGGGACAAAACTTAGTTAAGGGAAAAAGAGTACAGCGTGTATAATATNTCTCTCCTTCTTTATGCAGATCAGATGTTGAGAAAAACTTTGCTGAGATTTGCTTCGTTCTGTCTCCCTTGATGTAGCCTTCCTTGATTTGAGCTATGCATGTTGCGTTATCTTTATATATAATCGTAGCATTCTTCTTGATTTCTTTCAAATTATATGCTCCTTGTATGAGATTCATCAGCAATCTCTACCACGCTCGCTCTCGATCACTGTCGTATAATGCTATCAGTTCGGCTTGATCACATGCTGTTGTTCGTGCTTGCTCAGTCGACTTCCAAGAAAAGTTGTATCACCATAGGTGAACACATTACTTGTCTAATTTCACACTTAAATTTGGTACTTCAAGACCAAGTACTTCTTCGCCCTCTTCTGGGAGGCGATTAGAATGTTATGTATATATATATGAATGAACAACCATGGGTATGTTCAAACGACTAGCTTTATTTCAACGTGTTAACATCTTCTGGACGTGGTTTAACTTATGGACAAATGGGCTATCATATAGGTGTTTAAAATACAGTCCTAGGTATAATTTATGTCAAGATCTTCCATCTCAATTTCTCTCTTCAAGAGTTCAACAGTTTTTTCTATCTCTTCAGGAGATGTAATGATATTTATACGTCGACGTAAACTGCTATAATAATGAATATTGAGAGCGATCCTTGAATGACAACACATAGGTTGATTTCAAATTTGTTATCTTTCTTTTTCGAGATATTCACTAGGTCAATTGTACCACATATGACCAGATTACTTGAGACCATTCCACGATCTCTTCACACATATCTCGATGTATTAATTTTATTGCTTCTGGCATTTTGAATCCTTCTGGGATTATTATCACACGGATGTCAATTTCAAGTGTCCCTTATAATTATGTTATAACGACATCCATATCATTTATTTGAAGTCCTTTTGAGATTGCGAGACCAATTAAAATTCTAAAAGGATATTTCATCCACTACGGGAGAATACGTTTCCTCAGAATCAACTCTTAGGATTTGGGAAAACTCTTGCCTTACAAGTAGTACTACATATAACACAATCTCATTCATTTTATTTCTGTTTATTACAGACACCCATTTATAACCTATTGGTTTGACGTCTATGGGTGTTCAGACTTCAGGTCCGAAAATATTTCATTTATCAAGTGACTTATATTCGACCTTCAGGGTCTTTTGTCATTTGGCAAATCATTTATGTACTATTTACATGTACTCTTATTTGAGTTTTAGGCATGTAATCTCTTTTATTGATTACATCCATTGTCATAGCATATGCAAAAATATCATTAACACGTGTTTCATTTTGGTTCCATATTGTACATTCTCATACATAATTAATAGAGATCTCATTTTCTTTCGGTACCGATGTTTCTCTAGGAAACTTATTCTTCTGGAATCATAGTAGTCTCTTCCAAGACATTTACCTCTTCTGGAGTTTCATTTTCTTCTGGAATAGTATTAGTCTTCTTCTAGGACAGTTACCTCTTCTGGGGAATCACTCATAATCATGTATGTGTTTTCACTAATAGCGTTTTTGCTATCTTCATTTTCGTGGGTTCATGTCTTTGAAGCTGATTATTCTCCCACAATTTCTTTGTATAATAGTCACTTTTGGGACTACCTTAAATCGAGCGATGCATAAGATACTGGTATATGTAATTTTGTCACTCTGCTCATATGTGTGAATGCATCTCATAATTCATTTGCTCTACATTGCAAATCGGACTTCAAAATCGCACTGACCACTTCAGGAGTCAAAAATTTACGATGATGATGCATTCCATGTAATTTCTTATATTACCAGTCTTTCTTTATTCACCTCTCCCCCTAAGACTGGGAATACTTTATCTCTTGTCAAAAACTCTTAACATTTAACGATTGACGAGGAGTTAAAACTAATGTCAATTACCCAATCTTCTCTTATTATCTTGGATGCATTGTGGGGGAGGGGGCACATAGGACACACCATCAAATATTGTCAAAAGGGACAAATTTAGTTCTCTTCGGGAGATATAAAGAGTAAGAAACTCAAAATTTTGAAGATTTGACATTTTATTTATAGGGAAGGATTAATAAAAATTGAACATGTGTATATAAAATACATGTGAAGAAGAACTTCAAGTTCTCATATGTTGGAACTACAGGTTCCTTATAATAAGACCATTGTTTTTTTTAAATGGTTGAAAAAAAATGTCAAAAAGATTTACTTCTAACCAAAGCGTTTACAATTGACACATAAAATTCATAATAAGCACTTTATTTGCAATATCTTAGTACAATCTTCTTTCTTGAACTTCAGGTTCACATCTTCTTTAATTGAAGAATATATATAATCTAGCATATGTCATGGAATTTATCTTCCATTCAACTCCTTCAAAAATCTTCCCTCAGTGTCTACCTACCAATATGATATCTTGATAATTTATCTTAATTTAAGCCCATTAAGCATCCGCTCTAAATATTTACCACATAAATGAAGATTAAAAATCTAGTATAAAATGATTTGTTCTCACAATCAAAAGTATAGCCACCAATTCGATGCACTTTGCATATTAATTAGAGTTGTAGGCTCTTTTGTAGCTAATGATGTTCAACATAACCTATAAATTGTGTCCATAATATAATATATGGACAAATATCATAAACTTCAGGTTACGAGTTAATTGTCAACGAATATGACAAATATAACGATGCATCATATAAAACATTTAAATTGCCATCACGAATAGGTGATGGACCCAATCAATTCTACTTGAACAATTCCTTATTATGTATGAAATGAATCTCAAGTTTCATTCGTAATAATCTCATAATAATCTTCTAATGAGAACAAGGCTATAGGATCTTCTGGTCCTTCTAGTACTCACTTGAGTTCTTAATGATTTTTTTTTGTTACATCACAAACTAAATCGTGATAATTTAATTGGTTATGTTTAAAATAAAAATTGGTTCCGTAAACTTCCGGTTTACGTGAAAACAAATCTCGATCAAGTGTCATGTAATATTCATTTCCACTGGTATCCTAAACATTAACAGAGACACCTTAAACAATAAGGATTTGTCTATACCCAATAGAATATTCGTCAATGCAGGACAATAACTGTCATCTCAAAATATTCAATATTTAGGAGACTTTTATTACTTCTATTATGCAGCTCTTAATCTGCAATGCTTTTCTGAAGCTATCTATAAGTTTTGTATAACAAGAAAATTATATTTACACTAACTTCTTTAATTACAAGAGAAAAGAATCTCTTTCATCTAAAAAAAATATAATGTGTATAATCACTCCTTTGATTATAATATATTTACTACATCATTATTCAAGAATATTGATCAGGAATCATATATAGATTAGAACAAAGGTCTTGAAATATCAAAACGTGTCTGTATAATGAGATTTTTTTTTAACTAAAAATAAGCCACTTCAGGTGGTAATTAAATATTATAAGACCTTAGGTATCTCATATACCCATATATTGTGTTTGATGAACATGATGACTCTTATTTAATTTAGGAGATTATACATCTTAAGGATTTCTTTTCACAATTCAATATTCTTCACGAATATTTATATTCAAATAGTCAATGTTATTTTTAAAAAAATGCAATTCCATGTGACCATAATAGTGACTTTGATGTGTCCATATGTATAACCACAATAGTTGTGATATCCTATTATATCCATGCATGTTAATCAATATTTTCACTCGCTTCAGGGAATGAATATGTAACATGATTTTTTTTTTGTCAAAAAAAATCTTTCCTAACAAAGGGAAAAAAAATGTAACCAAATATGCAGTATATGAATTTTTTTCTTACACTACCACTTTAGAGCAAATTAGATTCTCAAATACTATTTTGTAATCTAAAACCACATATAACATGCAATTACATATATTGGTCACACCAATTTTATTGCAACTTAGTGTATCACATTAAAATATAATATCATTGCATGAGGATAAAATGCATTGAACAATTTATTTGATAAAAAATTCATTATGCTATTTTACTTCTGGAAAATGGTAAATCATGAGTACAAAAAATCTACTTTTTTTTAAATTCTCTTTAAGAGATTATAGACTTTAGAATATATATCAAATTTGATTTACTTTGAGGATAAAATTTGACACTTCAATTAAAATTCTCTTTTATATGTCATATACTCCGTATTCCTTTGATACGAATCAGCAAAAATATTTATCACATTTGGGATCAGGTAATAAAATATGTATTTTTTTTTTACATGAACACATGTATCAATGTTTGTGTACAATCACAACTTTAAGAAAAAATAGTTCAAGATTAATAGGTATATGACCAAGAACTAATGGTTCATCATTTTCTCTTTCGAGAAAAAAAATATAACTTTCAAATTCATTTTCTATGGTAAATTTCAAGAGTTTGAAAAAAAACCTTTAGCATCTTCACAATCGAAAAGCATTATACCTCATAAAAGGGAAATTATACATCTTTTTAGAGAAATAATAAATTTCAAACATGACTTGACGAAGTATTTGATTGGAATAGTTTCACAATGGGATTGGCGCACAAACAAAGACCCCTAATTGACAAGTTTAGATCAATAGAGTGGGTTTCACCCAAACATAACAACATAAGTATCAATCTACAATTACTTCTGGATATGATGTGAGAGGATTGTATCATAAAGCAAGGGACAACAACAACAAGAAGCCCAGTAAAGTCCCACACAGGATTGTATCAAACACAACAACATGCATGTAATAGAAATACAAAGAGAGTGCCTAAATAAATTAGAACCACTTTAAAGCTAAAGCAGAGATATGTGGTTTTATGGATAGAAGGCACCAACCAATTTGCTAATATTATAAGGTAGGTGCTCAGATTTGCAACATCAATTTAAAGGTGAACGGGAAAAATCACCAAACTGTTCATAGAGTAGAACAGCTTAAAAGTAAGTTCATATAATCATGAACAACTAAATAAGACTAAACTTTTGAAGGGATATTCAGTTAAGATCAAAAGCATCAAATGAAAAATTGTTGGTTGTAATTCCTGGGTGCACTATACCTTTGGTATGCTCAATAATCATTACATTGTTCTGCCACTCTTCTACTTAAGTAAATACTCATGTTTACTTCTCATCTTAAACCAATGGATCGTATAAACAACATGGATTACAGCACATATTTCAAACAAAGTTCATAGATTGCAATTTTAGACTTCAAATAGCATATATGTATATATGGCAGATTTACCAGGACCATTCAATTTTCAATAAGTAATTTTCCGAAAAATCTTAAATACCTGGACAAGCTGTAGTATCCCTCAATTAATCGAAAAAAACGAATTTTGAAGCAAAGGGGACGCTGCCCTCTGCCGTTCCTCTTCGCCGGCTCTGTCCGTGCACTCCAAGGAAGAAGAAGACGCTGGTGGTGGTGACCGACGTCTGACGGCGACGGAGACAGAGGAAGCATGAGTGGTTGACGATCAAAGGGAAAAAAAAGGTGCGGTGATTTTTGACGTCGATCGGCAAAAACCCTCTTTTTGGTTTAGATGGAGATCGGCGGGGAGAAAAGAAAAAAAGGAATTAGGGTTTCAGAGTCTCATCGTGCTGATAACGTGTTGTGAACTCAGTACTTTATTCATCATATACGGGAGTATTTATACATACACAAGAGGAGGTAAAGTCTAGGTCAATAAGGAAACAAGATATTCTAAATAATAGGAGTAATATATCTGCCATATTTAACATTTACAACTTAAATTGGATCTACCCATATTTTGATTAAAATTGTCACGTCATTCAATCGTTAATAGGTGGCGGATGATTTGTTAAAATGTTGTCATGTAGATTCGCCACTTGTCGCAATTCTAAAAGTTTAACTCTCAAATTTAATACTCCCTTCGTCCCTAAATAGATTATAATTTTATTTTCTCTCTCCTCTCGATAACTTTTGTTTATTTACGCGATTTCATTAAGTATTTGATAAAATAAAATATTCTTGTCACCTCTTGTTTTGTAGAACTTTTGACGTAGTTTTTTAATATTTAATTTTTATATCTTATTGATATACCAATTTATAAATAAAATGATTTCAAAAAGTAGGAAATTTTAATCCGTAACCTGCAATTTGTAATCAAATTGGGGACGGAGGGAGTATATAAAGATTCATCGTGAGTTTATCACACTTTTGGTTTTCAATAGAAATCGAAATAATACATACTTCATATATAACTAAATTTCTGGTTTATAACATATAATAATTAAATACTTATATCACATTGATTTAGAGGTTTAAAACCATCTTATTTATTGGTTGAAAATCCTTTTACTATAATAAAGGAGACTCCGATTCACAAGCATTCGACATTTGGCATGTCTATTTGGCAAATTTTTAACATGTCAGCGCCATGTAATCCTTTACTATAATATTTTTGACTCATGTCTCCAAGAAATTGACATGTGTCATCTTACATGACAATTTTTAAATGACATGGCACATGAATAAATTACATGACATGCTTTAAATTTTCATTCATCATTTATTGATATTTATTTATGATAATCTATAAAATATGATGAGTTTAAAATAATATATTTTATATTAAAAAAATATGGATATTTTAATTTATTGAAAATTATGTAAATGAAATAAATGTAATTTTTCAACAAAAAGTAAATAAATTAATAATAAAAAAGAAACTAATCATTATTAGCACGGGTCTTTTTCATAAAAATAAAAATCATACTGCCGAGTAGCTCATCTTATAAATTTATTCTTTTGAGTAAAATATAGTTTTTTAAAAATTATTAATTTATTCTTTTGTATGAAAATTTATTGAACTTAAATATACTCTCGAGTAGCTCATCTTATACCACTAATTAAAGATGAGAAATTTATTAAATAAATTTAGTGCATTATGGGTTTATGTATATTAGATAATTTTTAATATGAAAAGTTTGTGGTTTAATGTATTCAATAACTTTTTTAATAATTAAAATTACCTTAAATATAGAATAGGGAGTATAACAAATATATCAAGATTTAAATTTTATTTGAGATATTTTATATATTTACATCACAATATCGATAGTCTTTAATTAAAAGTATTTATTTATGATAGAGACGTTGTTTATAAATGATAAAACTTTTGTTTTTAAATGAAAGCATTTTTATAAAGGAAATATAAATTTTAAAAAGAATTGTTTTCATCCTCTTTATTAATAGGACTTTTTGAGCAATTTTTCTTTATTGGAACATAATTTTCATAGAGAAAATATATAACATTAAAAATAGATCATTGAAAAAATATAATCATGATATTCATATATTTATAGATTCAAGTATCGAATGACAACATATATTTCTAAATAGAATATATTAAAATATTTTCAGAGCTCTAAATGTTTGAAAAAGATATGAATACCTCATTTATTTTCAAAACTTATTTTAAAAACAATGTCTATCATTTAAAAAGGTGACACACGTACGTACCACATCGATTCGTGCTATTTTATGTTCATTTTTATTAAAAGGGGGCATTGATATGCATTCCAATCAACATGAATGCATATTATCATTTTTGAACTTTTTTCATATATAATTGTTCTTTATAATGTTTTAAAATTCAAATTGGTTTATATTTGAAATAAAAATCAAAATTAAAAAATGCATATACTTTCCTCATCTAAAGTTAAATATTTTTGTTTTTATAAATTTGGATGAAAAGTATTATTGTTTATTTGTTTCATATGCATTTTCATGAAAAAAAATATTAATTTCGTAATATAGTAATACACAGAGATTCTACATCCATTCACTTTAGGTCGTTCTAGATAAAACTAGCTTTAATAGAAGTATCTACGGTGCACCGTTCACAAAATTAATGATTCCCACCCTCGACACCCGAGTAAATCCCCACCTTATGGCTCCAGACACATTTCGATAATAATAATAATAATAATAATAATAATAATAATAATAATAATAATAATAATAATAAGAATAATAATAATAATAATAATAATAATAATAATACAAACAATGCATGCAAATAATTTTTTAAACACTATTGAAAAGAATCAAAAGAAGTTAGATAAAACTAAAAGAGTGTAAAAACATAATGACTTTTTCTAAATAGCAACATATGTCTTTTATTTCCCGATGTAGCACTTTTAGTCATTATTCTTTAGTCATTATTAAAATAAATGTTCACCATCACAGAATATTATTTTCTTTCTAGACAGCATTAAGTGTTATTTAAGAGATAGAAAATTTAAGTCTTATATTGAGAAATGACTTATGTTTTAGTTCTATTTAGTGCAGATATTTTTCATACTTATTTTTTCTAAATTGCATTTCACAGAAAAAACATTTGGTGAAAATATATCTTCATTAAAAAAAATTAACTCATGATGATGAGATTAAACTTAAATATATATTCATTAAAAACAAACACTCAATATATACCTGATGGATACCCGGGAATGGGGGTATCCAGCCAAACAGGAAGACGGCCCAGCCCAACTTCGCCAAAGCCCACTTGGCGGGACCAAGGCAAAGGACCGGCGAAGACCACCTTGGCGGTATTCTGCACTCGGCCCCGGCAAGGCCAGTCGTCCTCGGACCGCCCCCGACCGGCCTTCCGTCCAGATGTTTTCGAAGACAGGTCATACGCTCGGCCTCGGCCCTGGGCAGCGGCAAACCAGACCTAGGCAAGGGAGCTGACTGAAGTCAAGATCAAGGGGCCCACGATTAGACTCCTGCCATGCCTCCGGTAGAGTTGCTATAGCCACCCTACTTGTAACCTACGTTTGTATAGCAGTCCTAGGGTTAATTATGTGGTTGGACGCCGCCAGTGAACAACCCAATCCTAGTGGGCCCAGACCGTTGGATTACGGACCAACGGTCGGAACCCTAGCTGTAATCTGTATATAAACCTCTTCCCTTCTAAGGGAAAGGGGGACTTACGTTCTAAGTTATACTCTAACTAGCACAATATTACTCTCAGTTTACTTGACCCCATATTTTGTGTACTCTCGACTTAGTTCGATACCCTTCCGCCTAGTTACCTAGGCCCCCGGGTTCCATAACCCAACAATACCTTTAAAAAGAAAAATCTTCGTATTACTATGTGGTGATGTTTTATGTGAATAGTAGGAAAAAATAGATTGATCATATCTACAGTCAACACCTTAAAATTAGTCTAAATTTAACATCAATTTAGACTTGATTAAGAATACCTTATAATATTTGTTATGTGGTGATGTTTTATGTGAATAGAGGAAAAAAATTTATGATCTGTATTTACTATTCTTTATGATGGTATTAGAGGTACATGTGGAGAGGCATCGTCGTCAGGTGCAACGCCGCACTGTCAAACACACACAAGAAGGAATATAATGTACTTTGCGATGTGACAAATGAATGGTATTTATAAATTTCAAATAAAAAAAATTAATTATCCATTTTTTAAATTGTGGAAGGGTTACTTATGAGGTATAGCGTCACAAAATGTAATTTTAACAACTTTAAAATTTGATCTATATAATGCTTCAATCATGAAATAATTGTACACCCATCTCAGCACATTTCTATGTGTAAAAGAGACAAAGAAGTAGTTGGAATGATAAATGAATTTTTCCTGGTGATGAAAATGAATACTGAGTTCTATTTCTTCGTGCCAACCAGATGTAGATGTGGGTATTGATGACGGTTGGATAACAGTTGAGTTCTTGAATGAAATCAAATGATCGAGAATTACAAACCACAAAATAGTTTTGAAAAGAGGGGTACCGATTATGCTATTGATCTGAGGAACATTGACCAAACATCTGGATTGTGTAATAGGACAAGATTAATCGTTCAAGAGATGCAAAATAATGTTATCGGTGCAATTGTGGTTTCGGGAAATTGAGTCAGGGAAAAAGTTTACATCCCTAGAATGAATTTAGTACCATCTAATCCAGGACTACCCTTGAAGTTCCAAAGAAGACAATTCTCGATCGCCTTATGTTTGCTATGACTATCAATAAAAGTTAAGGTCAAACATTGTCATTTTTGGGATTATTTTTAACCAAGTTGGTGTTCACACATGGTCAACTTTATTTTGCTGTTTCACGAGTGAAGACAAAGACATGATCAAAGATATTTGTTCTAGATGACAATGGAAACCCTTGCAACCATACTAAAAATGTTGTATACCCTGAAATATTTTAAAAAATATGGTGTTAAAATAAACATTGTTAATCTACATTCATTTCCTTGAATAGTATTAAGTTTACTTTGGCATTTTCATCTACAGTATTAAAAATTATGTGAGCAATACATTTTCTTTATCCCAAAAAATAAATTTCATTGAAATAATTTAGAATCGACATAAATTGCATTCGACCCTGTGCATTTTCAGGATGCTTGTTTTATTATAAAAGAAGAGAGTAAAATATTTTGAAATGGGAAAGGATGTTATCATTAAAAACAAATGTTTCATTTTAATACTTAAATTTATTCAAAGATTTCATACCAAAATGTTGATTTCACATTTTCTATATCTCAAATTAAGTGGCATATTAGACTATTAGGTATCAGAATAAATACTCCTTCCATCCACAAATAAACTTTACGTTCACTATTCACAGGGTCAAACGTTATTCACTTTGTTGACCTATTTTCGTCACGCATTTGATAAAATAAAATAGTCATGTCCTCTCTAGTTTTATATATCTTTTGATATAGGTTTTTAATATGTAGTTTTTATTTTTCAATTCTACACCATTTTTAATATGAAATGATTTGAAAATAACTTCAGTCAAACATCGTAATGTAAAGTTTATTTGTGGACGGAGGGAGTATTAAATTTATTTATTGGTGGAGAAAGCAATTTATTTATTAGGTTTAAATATTTGAATTAATTTAATCAAATTAATTTCAAGTAAATGTATAAAAAACACTTATAAAATTTATTTATATGTGAAGAGTTTATTTAATATATTATTCTAAAAATTTATAATAAATGAAGAGAAAAAAATAGAATCTGGAAAGAATATTATTATAAAAATGAATTTTTTTACCATATTTATATTTACTAAAATACTTCTTACCAAACTTAGTTTTATATTTCCTCCGTTCCTAAATATTTGCCATTCCCGAGATAAAATATCAAGTTTTTTCAATTCATTTTATTTACATATTTGTATAGAAATAAAAAATAAAAATTACATATAAAAAAAATACATGAAAAGTTATTCGAAATAATAGGTGTCAAGAATATTTTATTTTATCAAATAACCAATGAAAACGTAGAAATAAACAAAAGTTCCCGCGACTGCTGAAAAGGCAAATGTTATAAATATTTTGGGACGGAGGGAATATTTTTCATATAAAATTATGTGACATATTAGGTGTTAGAATATGCAACATAAAAATAATTTTTTTTCTTTTTATTCAATTGATAAATTGGGTTCAATAAAAAGCCACATAGGTAGTGACACATGTGAGCTCTTAGTAATGCCACATGTCTTTCCTTAGAGTTTGAGTCTTAAATTTGTATATAAAGGATGTACAGTTTGAAATTCTTCATATGAGAAGTTACCTTATATCGCTTCGTTTTCACGATATTTGTTCGATTTTGTATTTTTCAATTTGGCTTTTGCGATAATTTAGGAAAATTATGGGACAAGATTGGTACTGCTCACTTATAGGAATTAGGAAATAATAGATTACTAATTACTCCCACCGTTCGATAATTTTTTTCGCTTTCCTTCGAAGGTTGACAAACTTTGAAGGAAGTTTTATTTTGGAAAAAAACTTTTAATGGATGTGTTATTACATCCCTGTTTTTTGTCTACACTATTCGCTTTATCTATCATATCAAGAACAACACATGAAAAATCTTTATTTTTTTTAACTTTTTTCTTAATCTTCGTTCCAAGTCAAATTGGAAAAGAAATTTTTGGACGGAGGGAATATATTCCATTTTCTCTTATTGTATTGTTACTATAATTCTTCTTCTTTTGTGTTTAGAACTCTCTCTTATAATCCTTATATATATGGATGTATTCTTTCCATTTATTATCAAATTGTATCACTCACCCTTAATAAACAAACGTGAAAATTTGGTCATGTTCATGGAGTATTATATAATTTAACTTTTCTTTATCTCCGTAAAAATCAAATCAAGACAATTTTTGAAAACGTAGGAGTAATTAGGGTAGATAATCAGCAAATCCTAATTAATTTAGAAGACGCATGTTAGTTACTATTAGAGCACTGGAAATACTCGTGAAGCCCCGGGGCTTCAAACCAGGGCTTCAAAATTTCTCTTTCTACCACATCAGCTTTAACTTACCTTACCGATTCAGTGGAAATGGGTTTGAAGCCACAGAGCATCAAATAGAGCTTCAAACCTTTTTTTTTACATTTTTAAATATACATCTTCTAAATTTAAATTAATAAATTTTAATTAATTTATTATTTAAATTAGGCTAGTGCATTAAAAAATTATATTCATTAAAAAATATTACATTCATAAAAGAATACATTCATAAAAAAAGTTACATTCATTAAAAAAAATATTACACCCATAAAAAAACAATACTACAAAAAATTACTAATTATTCGAGCGACTAAAAATATCTTCATTCAAATTCGAGTTGTAGTAACATATTGCAAACTGACACAATTCATTAAATAAAAAATACAGTCAATAAAAAAAAGTATGTTAAATTTAAAAAAAACAAAAAAAATTACATTACTAAAAAAATTTAAACAAAAAATATTATATTAAACAAAAAAATATAGAGTAAAAAATATGTTTGTGTATGTTTTTTTAAAAGAGAGAATATAAAGGTTTGAAGCCCGTTAAATTTTTGAAACACAAGGGATTAAGCCCCTTCCCCCAAGGGGGCGGTGTTTGCTGCCCCTTTGGCGTTAAAAGGTGCAATAACGCTTCGGGCTGATGCTCATTACCAGTGCCCATATATTAATAAATTGTGTCAATGTTAAGCAAGGCACGTGAGCGTCTGTAGTCCAACGGCTAAAGGATAGTTGCCTTCCAAGCAATTGATCCGGGTTCGACTCCCGGTAGACGCACAATATTTTTTTTATGCCCCCCTAAATTTTTGAGACGCACAAGTGGCTGCCACATGGCACCATAAACTTTTTTCTTTTCTATATAATGGATGAATGTTAGAATTATGTAATGAGCTGAAGAGAAAAATATTTTTTGTTTAGTAAATGAAAATAATTGTGTAGCATAAATATTTAGTAATAAAAAAACATGTGAGTCACATAATGATAGAATTTTTAGTAAAGTTACCTTTTTGTGTTGAGAAATTCAATTGTAATGGCATTCCATCTATGTTTTTGTTAAAATATTATTGTAATGTTTCTTCTATTAACATATTAATGCGATGTTTTACGTAAATTTTATAGTTCTGTTGCTTGCTACTGTTTTAATTGTAGACTTTCAAAGAGAAGATTAGAGTTGTTTCTGTTTGTTCTCATTGTGTATTTTTAGAAGTTGTTTTCAGATGTATTTGGTTCTTGGCATAAAATATTAAAATGTGGGGCTTTACATGTTTTCAGATGTATGTAGCCATGTAGGTGAAATGAACATGTGCAGATTTAGACCTTTTTTGTCAACTTCCTTCAAAATTTAAGTATAAATTATGAGAAACGTATACTTTGTTGTAGTGTAAATTTCATGTAATTGAGTTCATTTCAGTTTGAGATATCATGGCTAAAACTGGACAAAAAGTTAAAATGTGGAAAGGTTTTTTTGGGGGATGAAGGTAGTATTGTTCTACTCCAAAAAGAATAGGATGTTATGGATTATATAGTAGGACATTTGATTATATATTTATTAGTTATTTAGTATTATTATTATTATTATTTCTTATTATTATTATTATTATTATTATTATTATTATTATTACTCCGGGGTATATTATAATATAGGTTTTATTAGGTGAGCAAAATTATAAACTCCTTCGCGGTTTATTTACTGTTCTTTCTTTCGTCGCTTTTATTGAACCATCAGCTTAGGTTTAGGGTTAGTTGGTGTTTCTTTGTCTCATATATATAGAGATGTAACCCTTTAGAATAATCATCAATAAACGAATTACAAACCCTAAACTCTCTTTTCTCTCGGTTCGCTGATTCTCTTCATCTCAATTCTTCTTGTTCTTCCTCGTCCCATATTCTCAAGAGCTTGAAGACACTCTAAGTCTTCCCTATCCGATATGAATTCGTATCATAAGAAAGAAAGAACAATATAAAAAGACAAGTAAAAGAATAATAAAAGGAAAAATGAAAAAAAAAGGTGTTGAAGAAAAAGAAAGATTTTGTGCATGTCCCATAAGCAAGAGTCTGATCAAACATTTAGTCAGACTCAAAGAATCATGATCTAGTAGCAGCACTAGCCAAATTAGAATTGAAGGGGTTAAACTATCTCCAAATGCAAATCCAATCTTTTATTAGAATTCATATTTCCCATGTCATTTTTATTCAAAATTGGCTGAATATCTTAACATTACTATTGAAGTGCCATTTCTATTAATTTTATCCATTTCTGTAGAAAAAAAAACTTCTAAACTGATATAATTGAATCATCCAAAATTATATTTTGTAAAAGACTCTAACTTAGCTGCACATTGAATCAACTACAAAGGCTCTAAAAAATTGTTTTCCTGGCAAATGATCCAAATTAAGTTGAAAACTTCAGCAACTCAACAAAAATTAGTTAACTGTCAAAGGCTACTTAAGTTTCAAAACCATCAATATTCAACAAAGAACTGGATGATGCAACATAGTGGCATGTGATCTGGATGTGTAAAGCCATTGCATTTTAGCTAAGTACTGTGAATTGAACGCAGGTATGGAGATGAACGATGCGTCTTTAATGAGCAATTAGGGTTTATGGAGCAAAGAGATGCGCAAATGCCGCGTGTTTTTTCAAGTGAAGTGGAAGAAAGATTAGTTTTTGAGGGTGCATGTTGTGGACCCGTCGTGCGGTCCAAAACAAATTAAAAATTTATAAAATATCCTTAACTAACCCCAAAATATAATCAAATAAAAGCTATAGCTAGGGCAAGTAAGGGTTGATCCCACGGAGAAATGTTGTACTTTTTAAAACCAATTTAGTATGCAAACACGTTGTCACGAAAATAAATATAAAAGTAAAACTAAATGCTACCTCCGTCCCATTGTGTTTGTCCACATTTGACTTTTGGAACTGTTTATCTAAGCACTTTAACTTATCAAATTCTCTTAATGTGTAAGCCTAAAAATAGTTATGTGTGATCTTGTTTGATTCGTCTTAACATATAGATTATTAATATATAATTTGTATAATTTTTTAATATACAAATTACAAGATAAAATGGATTAAAGAAGTGCATTGGATGGTGTGCCAAAAGGTAAGTGGACAAACACAGTGGGACGGAGGGAGTACTACACAAAAGATAACACTTATAAAACTTAGTATAATATAAACTTATGCTAATATAACACAAAAGAGGGGGGGTTGTTGGATTAAAAGTAAATATTTTTTAGTTTTTTATATTTTCTTATTTTTTTGGTTTTTTGATAAAATGGGGGAAAACAAGCTCAAAAGATAATCAACTTCTCCAACTAAGATAACCCAACAAAATTAAAAAGAGAACGAACACAAAACGAACATTACACGTATAATAGGCACTTAGACAATATATTACGTAACTTACGCACTTAAGAATAGAAAAGAATTCAAAGGCTCGAGTTGATTCATATCCTTGACCACATATAGAGGATCGTCAACTCTCTATAAGGCTCGGAGTCAAAGATTCAAAGGCCTTTTGGTTACTTTAAACCCCCACTCACCTGAAGCGCTCAAACAATGATTCCAAAAGATGAAAAAGTTAAAAAAAAAGATGAAAGAGTTTATAAAAGAGCGAATCTTTCTTTCATTCTAACTCCCATGCACAAGGTATTCACGAAGAACATTTGATACACTTTAATAAACTTTAACGTCTAATGATGAAAATATTTTGCGGGTCTCCTTGAATAACTCAAGCATAAGAATTGTATTCTATTCACATAAGAAAAACATTACACATTTTCATAAAATCAAGAGTTGTTTATTGCGCTTAAACAATCCCAATTTTTATGAAAATAACAAACAAAAACACCAAGACATAAACAATCACTCTATAACGAATCTTAAGGAAAACGTTCGACTTATGTGGCTAAGAAGATCATTTACCTTAAAATTTTACAAAACACAAGTCACAAAAAAAAGATTCACGTATGAATTCGAGAATCACTTAACTAAAATATGTAGCTAAATTAGCTTCAATGATAACCGAATTCGACATACGAACCTACTTATGAAATCAAATTTATAATTCAACCAGTTTAACATCAATTTGCGTAAAATTGAAGAAACTAGTAAGAATCAATTTTCATTCATAAGGGATTTAATATAAACATTCAAAAAGAAACATACAAGAAAAATGAACTGATGGACAATAAATCCACCAAATGATCCGATTCAGAGAACGGATCGTAAGAACAGAATTAAGAACGAGAATTCGAGAATTGGGTGTGTATTATCAGCTTGATTTAGCTTGAGTTTTCCCCTTTCGGGTCCCCTCTATTTATACATGGGTTCTAGACAATTAAGGTAATACATAATCAATGGAGTCTATCCCGTCAATGGCGCGATCCTCTTTTTCCGGCTTCATCTCCGTCATTCCGTTCCGTCTCCTTCTCTGAATTGACTCTGCCAACCGTTCTTGGACTAGAATTGGCCGGACTTAACTCCATGGGCCGGCCCAAGCCTGAGTATTCCCCAAGCGCTTGACCCAAGTTGTTTAAATGTTTGATTTGGGCCGCCCGTTGGATATCGGCCCATCACAAGCCCCCCAACTCCTCATTCCTCGACTAGGCTAAGTTGAGGAATGGGGAGTTTACGAAGTCCACGTGGGCGCTCCAGCGTGGATCCGGGCCGTTCCTTGGGTTCTGCGTGACATTTGGGCACGATCTCCACAAATAGGTAATCATGACCTGCTGCTTCGCCTTCCCATTGTCAGTTAAAAACCGCCGCTGGACGCCATCTCTTTCTTTCGCCTTCTCCATCATCATTCGTCTGTGATTCCGCTGCTACCCGACCCGTTTTTCTTCATTTCCACGTCAGTTCCTTTTCTCGCCGCCATGATTGTTTCAGACTCCGATTCGACTACCCCATCGTCCAATTCTCGCCAAGCCGATCAATCGGCCTCTGGTCGTAACCCCGGCCACACTCAATCGTCCCAGCCGTCGCCGTCGGCCGTGCCTGGCCAAAAACGGCGTCGATTGAGGAAGCAATTCCCTTCCTCAACCCCGGTAGATGAGGGCTCGAGGGTTAGATTGGACGAAAACATCATGGCGCTGTGCCATTGCCAGATTACTGACCAGGGGTTCGCCGATGCTACTGACATGGTTGGACCTTCCATCAAGGTCCTGAGACCTACCAGCACCCAAACCGCCCTAGACGCTCCTCGAGGGTTCTTCACGGTCCATCTGGCGTCTTTAAAGAAGGGGCTGCGCTTCCCACTCCATTCGTTGTTGATCGAATTCCTCAACGTAGTGGACCTCCTTCCTTGCCAGCTGGTCCCCAACTCTCACCGGTACATCGCCAGTTATCTGGTTCGGTGCAAGGATGTAGGGGTGAAGCCAACCTTGGACCATTTCTTATTCACATTCAAGCTGACCAAGGGCCATAAGGATTGGGCGTCCTATGCCAGCCTTTCCTAGAGGTCCAGTAAACTCTTCGCCAGTGACAAGAAGGGGTCAACCAAAGACTGGAAGCCTTTCTTTGTTTTTGTTTCGACGGGGCCCGAATCTCCTTTCACAGGTTCTGGGTGCCCTTCTTCCCGTCGCATCCCATGCCCCCCGTCTGATGCCACCCTATTGTCCATCACTCGCCAACTCTGCAACAAGGGAGTCATGAGCATCAAAGAGGTGGTGACAGAAGAAACCCTTGCCGGGTTGGGGTTTGAGTTCATCCAGGATGAGCTTCGTCACCAACCCGACCTGCTGAGGGACATTCCCGGGGGGTATAAGCCTGACCAGCTGAGGGACATTCCTGAGGAAGGTCTTGACTGTGGTCCCTTTGGTAATTGACCTTCTCTTTGCCAAAATGTTTTGTTTTATCTCTTTTGAAGCTAACCATTTTCCCCACTTCCAGTTGAATTACAGGATTCAGGAGAAGAGATGGACGTCGATCTCCTGCTCAGTCGTTTCACAGCAGGGAGGAAGAGGAAGAGAGAGGCAAAGAGCCAAGGCAAGCGCTCTTCCTCCCACCGAGAGGAGGAGGAGAGTCCTCCTCGAGAGCCGGCTGTGGTTGTGGTGGAGGACCAGGATGACGCTGCCCTGGAAACGGGTACGCTGGCGAGCCATTCCCACCGTACTCTGTGATGCCGGGTGGCGACCTCGCTGGGTCGTCCCAGGGCGTTGCCTCGGAGCGACCTCCTTCGTCGCCCGCAGTGACCTACGAGGTGGCGACCAGGGGTCGCTCGACGAGGCTCTGCATTCCTCCTCTGCCCCAAAGTCTAGGGGACGTGCAGCTGGAGACCCTGATCACTCTGCCCGCAGAGGACCAGGCCCGCATCTCAGCTGGTTCTGAGGACGACCTTGACAACATGGTCCTCTTGAGGCTAAGCCAGATACTTGTCTTGATCTCCTATGCACCATTCCTTCCATTCGCATTCCTAACCTTCATGCCTTGGTGTAGGCCACGTTGGGGATGATTGAGGTGGTCGGCAAGAAACAAAGCCGTCAAGCTGCCTTAGATGAAGCGATGAGAGTAGCGGAGGCCAAGCAGAAGGAGCTGCAAGAAGAGGTCGCCCGCCTTACGAGGGAGCTGGAAGAGAAAGAGAGTCGCTGCGCTGCGCTCGTTGTGGAGAAAGCCTCCCAGGAGGACCGTTGCGCCGCTCTTGAGGCAGACAAGGCCTCCTTGTCCTCGGAGGTAGAATCCGTCTCCACTCGTGTGGTCAAGCTGGAAGGGGAAAAGTCAGACCTGATCCAATAGTTGGAGATGGAGAGGAGCGACCGGGACCGTCACACGGAGGAAGCGATTGAATCCTTCAAGTCCTCTCCTGATTTCACGATGGTCGCTCTAGAGCGGATGGACAAGCTGACAACCGCATGGCTCAAAACTGAACCTGGGGCTCAATGGATGGTCAACGAGGGGACTAAGTCCTTCAAATGTGGGCTCTTTCGCGCCCAACAAGTTTTCCGCGACAGGCTATCCCAGCTCCCTAAAGGATTCACTCTCCCTGATCTCGGCTTTCCTCCTCTCTGTCGCTCCTTGGCCGAGTTCGACCCCAGTCCTTTCTTGGACGGAGGGAGCTCGAGTGCTTCTAAAGAAGAAGAAGAAGAGGGAGACGGACAAGGCGACCAGAATCTGGGGGCCAGCTTAGCCACGTCCAAGGCAAGTGGAAACCCCAGCTCGAGCGTCTAACCTCCCCTGTTGTTCTCCCTCACTTTGCAAACACTTGTGATTTTTTGGGGTGATTTGTCATTTTGATACAGTGCTCCTATGTTATTTGACTTGCTGGGTTTACCATATACTTCCCTTTTCCTGCATTTTACTTCAGTACTCTTTTCTTTAGTTTAGCTGGCTAACATAGACGATTTTGTTTGTTCGGGCCCAACTTCCGGCCCCGGCCCAATTACATAACCAAGCCCAAACTCAGGATTAGTCAGCGTGCCGCCCAACGGACCCAATACCCCTTGCAGTTTTTGATTGGACCTTCGCGCGACTCAAGGCTGCTTTATCGGTGCAGCTGCCTTGGGACTTGACCGTCTCTTCGGTTTCTTCACCTGGGCTTATTTATAAGCTCCCTGGCCCTCGTTTTGTTCCATGAGCAAATATTTTCCCTTTCTCCATTTTTGTCATGTCTGAAGGAATTCTTATATCTCTGAATTTTTCCGACGGGCCGGCTCCTTCTTCGCCGGAGCTTGCCTCCTCCCCCAAGTTAGTCAATTCCAATGACTGGGGGGGCTAGACCCTTACGAATTCTGTTGCCGATTGCCTCGCCGGCAGTGGTCATCGGTGAAACCGCCGCCGGTTCCACCAAACCCTTATGATGATTTCAGCGAGGCGTACAAGGCTCTCTCTGCCAACCGCCTGCCTGACGGGCGAATTGACTGGGATGCCCCATGCCCCCTCCACTCGCTGCAATGCATGGCCTGGGAGAGCTTCCACGATGAGCACTTACCCCTCTTAGAGCATGAGTGCGCATATTACGCGAGTTTGGAGCGATGGACCAATGAAAGTCGCACCAGCTCACCGGTGAGACCTAAGGACGAGGTTGTGGTGGGGGAAGAACTGGGTTCTTCCCTGCCTCGTCCAGCTAGCCGCTCTCCTCCCCGGAAGGCTCCTAGGCGATCTCGTGTAGCTCGCCCAGCCTCAAGGTCTGCTTCCTCCTCAAGGTGATGCCGATTGGGGCTCATAGAAAAGTGAGTCGCCTCCCGTCCTTCCCTGGCAGGAGAAGGGCGGTGGGTTTTTGCCGCGGTTGGGGGCGACCACTCCTGTTCCATGATGGAGAAGAAAGGTGGTCGCTCTAGACGGCCGGTGATTGGAGTTCTGTTGGCCTATACGGCTGCTGAACTACCCTTCAACCTTGCCTTTTCCCCTGGATTCTTCATCCTTTCCGGGCTTCAGCTGCGCAAAGTTCCAAATTTCCTTTTTCCTCTTTTTCCTTGTAAGAGATGTATGGGAAAATATCCCTTCTTTTGGAAGTATGTAGAGATTGTTCTCAACTGTATTGTATGTGTAGACGCAAGAGATTATCCTTGAAATGTAATACACATTTTCATAAATGTATTTTGATGTTACCTGTTTACTTACAAGTTCCATCTTCTTCTCTTTCGCATCTCACTTTGAGCGTTTAGGTATTCTCAAACCTTAATTAGAGAATACCTCGCCTCTTTTGACTTAGCCATTTTCGGGTTATTTCAACCCCTATGGCGTCGCCATTCCTCCAAGGTCCGCTAGTCGCTCATACGATCAGCAAATTTTATGCTCAGGACTTGAACATTTTCTTAGGCTTTCTCGCCACGGCGTCGCCCTCTGGTTAGTCGCGTCGCTTGACAGCCTTCAATCTTGGTCGCTTGACAGGGTTCGACACTTCATCCCCTGTTGGGTGTCTTAGTGCGAATCACCATACAGCTTAGACTAGCGATCTCTTTTGGAAGCTCCTTTTTTTAGAATAGGGGAAAAGATATGCCAGAATGCTGGTTTTATTAAACTTTAAGAGAGAAATACGGCTGGAATACAATCTATTGGTAAAATTTAATAAGGTTGGCGGCATTCCATACTCGCGGAACGTCGCCTCCAGCTGGTGTCTGCAATCTAAACATCCCATCGGCCAACACCTCCTTTATGATGTAAGGTCCCTCGAAACTCTTAGCGAACTTCCCTCTGTTGGTCGGCCGACTGACCTCCCTTTTCCTAAGGACCCAGTCGCCTACTCCAAACTGCCTCGGTCGCACCCTTTGGTCGTGGTACGACTTGACTTGCCGACGGTAGTTCTCCGCTCGTATGTACGCCCTTTCTCTCCGCTCATCAATGAGGTGCAGCTCCGCCCTTAAGTTTTCTTCGTTCTCCTGGGCGTCAAATGTCTCCACTCTATAACTCAGCAATGAAATTTCTGCTGGAGCCCTCGCTTCAAACCCATATGTAAGCGAGAACGAGGTTTCACCCGTAGCCTTCCTCGGGGTGGTTCTGTAGGTCCACAAGATATACGTCAATTCCTCCCCCCAGGCGCTTTTACATTCCATTATCTTCTTCTTCAAGCCATCCACAATGGTACGATGGTGTTCTCGACCTGCCCATTGGTTTGGGGGTACCCGACCGCCGCATAGCTGTGTTTTATACCCTAGCTTTGTAGAAACTCATTGAACCCTCTAGCCTCAAACTAGGTTCCATTGTCGGTGATGATCTACTGGGGCTCCCAAATCGGCACAAGATTTGCTTGGATACGAACTTCCTCATCTGCTCTTCGGTGATGGTCGGCACAGGGGCAGCCTCGACCCACTTGGTAAAGTAGTCGATCGCGACCACCAGGTACGTGTTGTTCCCTGTTCCCCTGGGCAAAATGCCAACCAGATCAATTCCCCACCGAGCAAAGGGAATCGCCGTGCTAATCGGGGTATAGTTTGTCGCTGGTCGCCCTGGCACCTTTTGAAATTCCTGGCAAACTTTGCATCTACGCACATATTCTGCGCAATCTCTGATAATCGTTGGCCAGAAATACCCTTGTAGAGTCACCTTTCTGGACATTGTGAAGGCTCCCTGGTGTGCTGAGCATATCCCTTCATGGATTTCCTCCATTAACTTCTGCGCCTCGCCACTCCTTAGGCATCTCAATAATGTACCATTGTACGACCGCTTGTACAGCCGACCGCACTCCAGCGTGTAGCTAGGTGCACGTCGTTTCACCACCTTCGCTGCAATTGGGTCGGTAGGTAGCAACCCATCAAGGATGTGTTAGACGTCTCTCACACCTCTAGAGGGGGGGTGAATAGAGGTGTTCTTCAAAAGACCAGTTTTTTGCGCGGAAACGTTCTTCACGAATATTCAATAAAAATAATGCACCACAAACAAAATAAAGTGAAGGATAAGAGCAATGCACACACGATATATACTGGTTTGGCCTAAATGCCTACATCCAGTCCCCGAAGCAATCGTGCCCAGGCCTTCACTAACCCGTCAAACTTAACGGAGTTTGACAATCCGAATACAACTCGAGAACTTGATTTCACAAGCCTCTTATCTTACCACCGAAGTTTTGATTTCACAAAACTCAGGATTTCTTCCACCTAACGTTTGATTTCACAAACCGTTAGGATTTCTACCACTTGGTGTAATCCCAACACCAAGAATACAAATCCCTTACAATAAAGTAAGAAAACAAACCGCAACCGAGTAATTCTCCCAACACGGAGTAGATTGTTGCAAATACAATGAAGTCCTTTAGAATATGACAATATCTCTCAAAGACTCAAGCAATGAGGAAAAACTCAAGCAAGAAATGATTTAGCAATCAAAACAATTGCCTTGCTTGGATATAAGGAGGGGATTGAGTAGAATCTCATTGGATATTCAAAGGATATGTTTTTCAAAGTGTTCTAAGTGTTCTTATGAAGATAATCACGAAAGTAGATAGTTTATAGAAGTTGGGGAGTGGATAGGGATGAAAAGCATTCAAAAAAACTAGCCGTTTGATAGTTGAAACTGTCGACTTATTCGAATAACTCAAGACCTATTCGAAAAGTTTGGATCAATCGCGTGGCTTGAAAAACCAGTTCTTATTCGAATAAATTGTGATTTATTCGAATAAATCAGATTGAAATACCAAGACTTATTCAATTAGTTCTGGATTTATTCAACTAAGAAGTTCAGGGATTTATTCGAATATTTTGCAATTTGTTCGAATAGTTTGCTAAAAAATGTGTTTTAAAGGTAGGATGATAAGGGAATGAACCTTAGAGATGCCATACTCTTTAACACAAAATCTAAGACCTAAAACACTACCCAACTAATGAAACAACCGCTTCGGTCTCGTTTCTTCCACCGATGCTCAAGTCCCTTCTTCACGGACGGATATGAACTTGTTGTAGCTTTGGTTCTTAGCCTTGATGCACAAATTGATGATGATGTTTTGTCACCCTTTTGTCATTATCAAAACCTAAAAGACAATGGGCAAATGACATTGCAAAATATGTATTCATGATAGCACATTGTCCAACAGGATGTACATGGTAATTTCATAGATCCAATCTGGCTCTTTGAGCGTAACGACCAGCACTTGTCTGGGACTGATGCTTGGCTCGAGCAACTCCTCTTCCTGGGTCATTGCCCTGATATGTTCTGGAGAATCCGGACCAAGTTTTGACAGGATGTCCGCTTCGGCATTCTCTTCTCGGGAGACCTGCTCTATCCGATATGCCCCTAATGCTTTAAGAAACTCCAGACCGGTGTCCCTATATTTCAAATTCTCCCGTGACATGGCCTACTATCAATTTGGAGTAGCATCGGATTTGAATTCGTTCAACTCTTAATGAAGCTGCTAGCCTCAAACCGCAAAGCAACGCCTCATATTCAGCCTCATTGTTTGAGACTTTAAACAAGAATCTCACGGAGTAGTATGCTTTGAACCCTTCCGGTGATATTGCCACGACACCTCCCCCTGAAGCGTCAGTCGCGGACGAGCCATCAGTGTATACAGTCCACCAGTTTCCTTCGGGTTCCTCTCCATTGGACTCTTCTTCCCTCGCAGTGCATTCCACCACAAAATCTGCCAAGGCCTGCCCCTTTATCGCCGGTCGCGGCTTAAATTCTATTTGGAAAGACCCCAGGAACACTCCCCACTTCCTGACTCGCGACGGGGCATTTGAGCTCTGAAGGAGTGTTCCGATTGGGGTTTGAGATAACACATGGACCGGGTGAGCCTGAAAATGAAAATATGGGGCGAGTTTCTTCACCGTGCATACCACCGCAAAGATAGTTTTTTCCATGCTTGTATATCTCAACTCAGCCCCCTGCAACACCCTGGCCACATAGTACACAGGTCGCTGCGTGCCCTCCTCCTCCCTCACTAGCACCGAGCTCACAGCTCGAGGAGAGATTCCTAAGTATAGGAATAGGGTCTCTCCGGGCTCTGGCTTCGAAAGCACCAGTGAGGAGAGGAGGTATGCCTTCAACCCTTCAAAGGACCGCTGGCATTCTTTGGTCCAGATAAACCCTCTGTTCTTCTTAATGGTCTGAAAGAAAGGTGCCACTCGATCAGCTATCTTCGACAAGAAGCGACTGAGAGCAGCGATCCTGCCAGTGAGCTGCTGGACCTCCTTCACATTCCGCAGAGGCTCCATCTCCAGGATTGCCCTCACCTTTTCCGGATTAGGCTCAATCCCTCTTCGGCTGACCATATGTCCTAGAAACTTGTCCCCCTAAACCCCGAATGTACACTTCTTAGGGTTAAGGCGGAGCTGGAACTTCTTCATGATCTTAAAGACCTTCTCCAGATCTTCGGCGTGGGACTCCATTTGCTTGGACTTGACGATCATATCGTCCACACATGCCTCCATACACCCCCCTTACACCGGCGCAAACAGTTTGTTGACCATTCGTGCATAGGTCGCTCCAGCATTCTTCAAGCCAAAAGGCATTACCCTGTAACAGTACACTCCATTGGGGGTAATGAAAGCGGTCTTCTTTTCATCCGCTGCTGCCATCTTGATTTGATGGTACCCGCTAAATGCATCCATAAAACTCATCAGCTCACACCCTGCCGTCTCATCAACCAACTGATCAATGTTGGGGAGAGGGAAAGGATCCATTGGGCAGACTTTATTTAGGTCGGTGTAATCGACACGCATCCGCCAGGTATTCCCTTTGGATGCGAGGACTACATTCGCCAACCATTCCGGGTAGCGGACTTCCCGGATGTGCCCAATGGACTGCAGGGTTGTCACCTGCTTGGTGACAAACTCTCTTCGTTCTGAAGAAAGAAAACGTTTCTTCTGCTTGACCGGCTTGTGGGTCGGGTCTACTGCCAACCTATGGCAGATGATCTTTGGGTCGACCCCGGGCATATCTTCTGGGCCCCAAGCGAACAACACCTTGAATGCTTGAAGGACCTCCAACAGTTGCTCCTTTAACCTAGGCAGTAAAGTTTTACCTACCTTTACCTTCTGCTCTGGCTTGGCCGGGTACAGGGTGACTTCTTCAATTTTGTCCGCTGGCTCAGCTCCAGGTCACCCCTCCTCTTTCTGGATCGCAGCACAGATCGTGGTCACGTTCTCATCGACTCGTGCCTGGCTTTTGGTTGCCCTGACATAACACGATCGAGACAAGCTTTGGTTCCCCTTTGCCACTCTCACCCCTGTGGGAGTGTTGAACTTCAGGCACAGGTGGACGGGGGAGATTACGCACTCCAGGTCCTCCAACCCTGGTCACCCCAGAATCAAATGGTGTGCACAGTCGAGTTGCACTACCATGAATTCCATGTCGATCCAAAGTCGGTGGGTGCCATCTCTTACCCCAGCCTTCACCGTGATAGTCCCTTCAGCTTCAATGGTATCTCCTGTGAACCCTGACAGTGGCGTATGGATTGGCTTTAGGTTGCTTCGAGACAACCCCAACTCCATAAAGGTGTTGCTGTACATAACATTGACCAAGCTGCCAGTATCAACTAAAGTACGGTGGACGACCACATTATTGATTTCCACCTTTATCACCAGTGCGTCTCTATGGGGGCTGAGGACTGGCGGGTAATCTTCGTCTGTGAAAATCAGAGGTTCCTTCTTGTTCCGCTTGGGTAGCGGTGGCCTTTGTACCTCAGCCAGATGCACCATATTTTTCCATTTCTTTCGTGAGGACACTGAATCTCCTCCGGTGTTGCCTCCCATGATGAACCGACACCCCAGGTGTCGGCGACCCTGCCTTTCCTCCTCATCTAGGTCATCACAATCTCTCCCCAGATGTCGTCATCCATCCTCCTGCCCTTCTCCTGCTGTGATCGCTGCTGTGGGGGCTGCCGGTCTCCTCCAGGTCCGGTTACTTGAGGATGGTCGCTCCGACCGAGGAGGCAGCCCCTGGCGATCAACTGATCCATCTCCTTTTTCAGCGTAACGCACTCCGACGTGTTGTGGGTGCTGTTACGGTGGTACTCGCAGTATTTGGGTGCATCTTGCACACCATAGCTTTCTCGACTGTGAGGAGGGGCAGGTAAAGACTACACCGCAGGAACAGGATGTCTGTTCGTATGATACCCAGTGGGGTTTGGCCCCTTACCGTAATCCTTCCTTTTCTTTCCTTCCACCACCGGTGGCCCGCTTTTCTTCTCCTTTCAGACTGACGGCTCATCGTCTTCCTCTTCCAATGCCAGGTATTTCGTCCTGGCCAACATCTCCTGATAGGTCGAGAGCAGATTCCGTCGCAGCTCGTTGCGCACATCCCCTTGGGGGAGTGCAGCTTGGAGCATGGCGATCAGGGCTTGGTCGTCCGCCCCTTGGACGTCCCTGGCCTCCTTCTCCCACCTACTAATGAATTCCCGGAGCTGCTCTCCCTTCCGAATCTTCACATTGAGCAAGTGAGAGAAGGGGAGCTTTTGTCTTCGGATGGACGCGAAGTGCTCCAAGAACTTGTGGGCCAGGTCGCTCCACTTGTCTATCGATCCCTTGGGCAACTTGTGAAACCACTCACAAGCCTGCCCTTCCAGTGTCGCCAGGAAGCATCGACACTTGATTTCTTCTGGGTATGCATACATGACCACGTTCGCCCCAAAGCGAGCAAGGTGGTCCTGGGGGTCGGTCGTCCCGTTGTATGCTTTAATCTGGGGAGTCTTGAAGTTGTCAGGGAGAGGGCAGGACATGATCCTTCTGGAAAAGGGGGTTACCTCACTGAACACCGCTTGTCGGTAGGGGTTTTAGGCGTCCAGCCGCTTCTCCAGTTGCTCATACATTCTCCACAACTCAGCTGCTCCCTTTTCCTCGACCGCCCTTCGTCGCTCCTCAGAACCGACCTTGGAGGTCGCTGTGGATTCTCCTCTCTTCTCCTTGAGCGTATCCCTCAGGTCGCCTTTACGGGCCGACCGAGTGTCCTGCAACCGTTCGAACGCGGAGGTCTGGGGCTTCTTAGACTTGGGATCTCCCAAACGGTCAAAGGCAGACATCCGCTCGAAAGAGGACGACTCATCTTCTTCATCCAATCTGGACAGCGCATCCTCCATCATGCCCTTCCCATTAGGCTTGGTTGTCTTCTTCTTCTGGGACAGCCTTACTTTCTTCTTTTTTCCCTGGGAGCCCGTAGGTCCAGCCTTTCCGCCTGTGGGTCCCCCAGCCACATCTTCCACCACAATCTCGCGATTGGGCGTCAGTACCGCCAGCACCTCCTTGAACTGCTCAGCCGTGATTCCGACCCTCTGGATGAGGGCCTCTGCTTCCACCGTGGTGATGGGGGGTGCCGGCCTCCAGTGGCGCTGTTTTCTCCCTGGTGGGGAGCTCCGATACCTGCGTTGGCATTGCTGCGTGTTTGCACCATCGTCTTTGTGGAGGGTTTCCTCTGATTATGATTCTCGAACTCTCAATGAGAGCACCAATTTGATGGACAATAAATCCACCAAATGATCCGATTCAGAGAACGGATCGTAAGAACAGAATTAAGAACGAGAATTCGAGAATTGGGTGTGTATTATCGGCTTGATTTAGCTTGAGTTTTCCCCTTTCGGGTCCCCTCTATTTATACATGGGCTCTAGACAATTAAGGTAATACATAATCAGTGGAGTCTATCCCGTCAATGGCGCGATCCTCTTTTTCCGGCTTCATCTCCGTCATTCCGTTCCGTCTCCTTCTCTGAATTGACTCTGCCAACCGTTCTTGGATTGGAATTGGCCGGACTTAACTCCATGGGCCGGCCCAAGCCTGAGTATTCCCCAAGCGCTTGACCCAAGTTGTTTAAATGATTCATTTGGGCCCGTTGGATATCAGCCCATCATGAACAAAAACATTTTTTTTAATTTTCAATTTGTTTAAGAGGAACAAGCTTACATTAAGCAACACTTTAACAAAGAAATCTACAAGAGAGGGGGAAAAACAAGGATGACTTCCGGATTAATTCCGGAAGGCATTTTATTTGGTTACCTAAAAGAAGAAGATGAAGAATTTCAAAAATTGGAGCTCTAGTGGTTCGTCTCCCCCCTTCTCTGAAAGTGCAATTCCGTGCTTAATTTATAGACCAGAGGATCTTCCCGTTGATTTGAGATAGTAGCGTAGAATAAACAGTTGCTTACTTGGTCAGAGGTGGAATTGTTGGCCGAACGTTAGAGCATTTGATTTGAAGAATTGAAGTCGCCGTTCGGTTACACATCGATTTTGAAAGGATTTGAATACATCGATTTTGAAAGGATTTGAATGATTCATCGCTGATTTCTTGCTTCAATCTGAGACTTGGTTGCAATTTGACTTCACCGTTTCTCTGCTGCTGCGTTGTGCCGTGTTGACTGAGATGCTAATACTTTAAGGTTTGGGTTTTGGCCCAAACTTTTCCATCATCTCTGATGGAGCCAAAACTTCACCATTTTTTGGCTTTGGGGTGTGATGGAATAAATCAAAATGGATCTCTAAACTGTCTGCGCTTCTTTAATTAATGAAGTAGCAGTTAGTCAAGCAATGCAACTTTCGACGTTGAGCCGAGGGTCTCTTTGGAAACAGCCTCTCTACTTTCGAGTAGGGGTAAGGTCTGCGTACACACAACCTTCCCATACCCTACTTTTGTGGGATTCAACTGGGTTGTTGTTGTTGTTGTTGTTTTGGCCCAAACATGTTCTTCTTTTCCATTTGGCCTTTTTATACACTTTTCTAAATAAGATATTTGATAACTTGGGTTAAGAAAAATAACACATAAAAAAAATGATTAAAAACAACTACTTTTGAATGGAAATAAAAGGTTTGTAAAAAAAGAATTAAAATAAAATTAAGCTAAACAGATGAAAATTAAACAATAAAAATACTAAAAATACCCAAAAAAGAATAAAATATACTAACCCAAACCCGAGTTATCAATGCACTATAAAATTTAGGAAAAGTGAGGGTGTATTCTACTTTTTTGCTACCTTTTGAGGGTCCAAAGTGAGATTTTCCCATTTTATTTTTAGCAGGTTTTAAACTAACCCATCAAGGTTTAGTTCCAAGCAAAGGGAGGAGCTATGAGAAAATGATGGAATTTGTTGTTTAACTTTTACCAGTGAGCCTTGACACCAAGCCCTTCAAGAATTTTGCAGACCTTGTAAGTGGAGAATTCATGGCCATCAAATTGTACAAAACACTCTCCACTTCAGTGATGGATGGCCTTGTTTTGAAAGTGGAGATCATCTTCCACTCTCCCTCTTCTTCTTCTTCTTCAACCAACACATTCCATCTCCCATCTCTGCCGCACTTGAAAATAGCCCCTTTTCTTCTGCTCAGCACCCCTCTGACCTCCAACCCAATGAATGAATACACAGTCTCAAATGAGCCCACAAATTCCCTCAACTCCCTAAACATCCCCTCTTCTTCGAATCCCCATTTCGGATTGAAAATTACCACTGGCTTTGGATGCACGCCGCCAGTGATGTCCTTCATAACTTCAACCTGTGAAGGCTCTGGAGCAAGAAACACAATCACATCATTCGAAACTCTGATACTGCCCAAACGATTTGTTACTGAAGAAACCTCAAGGTTCTCAATAATGGCGCTGGAGGAACTAGTTAGAAAGGTATTCGCAGCCTCTGCCAAGCTCTTATCGGGCCACAGAATCAGAATCTTGACATTAGAGCCTTTTCTTCTAATGGGCATATTCTCAAACACCTCAACTGCAATCCGCGAGAGTGACTCGGGCGAGTCATCATTAACAGGAATTTCGACTCGGAACCTTGGGGGTTTTACCTTCTTGATCCTGCCGACGAGTTTGGGACCGCTGAGAAGCTTCTCTAAAGTGCTGCAAAGAGAATCCCTCGCCTGAGAAATGGCTTCTTCTCTGCTGCGAGGAGGAGGGGTGGGGGAGGAGAGGGCACAAAGGGGAAATCTTGATCTGCTTAATGGCTTCTTTAACGAAACAGATAAAGAATCCAAGTGAAGATCATGGCGCCGGGGGGAAAAGAAAGATCGATTCTGAATCTGGGACTGCTTGAAATGGAAATGGGACTTTGAAGTGTGGATGGATTGTTGGTGATATTTGACAAGATCTGCAACCATTTGACAGTTTGTAGAACAGTCCATTAAAAAGCCAGCAGAGAGCACAACCAGGTCGTAAGAATCGAAGCCCAGTTTGGCTGTTGGGATATACTGGCCGGAGATTCTTCTTGAGGTCTATCGTGGGTTCGTGGCATTAGTGGGAAGACTAAATGTGTCCGACATGTGGGATTTGTGTTCGATCTGGGGTGGGTGGGGTGGGGTGTGTTCGAGTCGGGGCGGGGTGGGGATTTACTGAAGCTTAGGGATAAGAACCGTCAATTTTACAAATGAGGCATCGGAGCGTCTTTGAGTCATCGTATGACATTATCGTGCAATGTCATGAGAACCTTATCGCTTTTATAAATGCAAAAATATCCTTCCTCTATTATACACATTGACTTTTGAAAACCAAAGTTTTTACATATAAATTCATTCAAAATTATTGTCGAAATTTAGAAATACATAACTTGCAACTTGAGGTGACAATCTTGCAGCAATTTCTTCATTCAAAAAAAAATCTTGCAATCTTAACTTGGAAGTAAAACTAAATTGAAAGGGTAATGTATTTGTACTCCAAGATTTTGTAGCCCATTTTGTACACTGCAGAGATGCACCAACGTTTTATGTTGGTGTAATGCTAATTTTTGTTAACGCACCAACACTTTGTGTCAGTGGTAAATTTTTGTTAACACACTCATACTTTTTGTTAGTGTGAACCATCAAAATGTTGGTGCGTAACTGTAGTGTACAAATGCGGTACAAAGTTTGGAGTACATGTAGCATCTTCAAATTAAAATTCCAATTAAGGAAAATGCTAGGAATACACCATTTGGTGTATTCCAAATGTCCCCACCCCCTCTTCGACCACAAAAATAGGCAAGTAAATTCAAAATAAATAAATAAATAAAAATCAGATAAAAGGAGACGTTGGCGAGAGAAGTCGCCTGATATAGAAGTGACAGTCTTGCCGGCTGGTCTAGTGTTCCTTCTGCCTACTCTTGAAATTCCTCTCTCCATGGCCCGATTGGAGATCTTCATCGGCTCGGCCGGGTTAATCGTGTGTCGTCGGACCGACCTAGAAAGAGGTCGGAAATCGCAGCGGCAACAGTTGTGGTCGGAAACTGAAGCGGAGAGGAAAAGCTAGAAGTGGAAAGAGAGGAAGAGAGTGAGAATAACGTGAGGGGATTGGGTGGGTAATGGGGGGGGGGGTGTTTTATTTGGGGTACAAAATGGGGTGTAAGTAGCATTCTCCACGGATGAAAAGATTTTACCTCTTTCCCCGGGCGTTTCTTACTCAGAACTGAAGCAGAGTTCACCCCTTTCTTCTTCAACTTCACACTGTCTATTTCTTTGATAAAACCACGGGTAATCAATCGTCGTAGGTGTATAAATCTGTCTTTCTTAGTTAATTGCTAAGATTTAGATGATGGGTGTATGTGTTCATGTGATAAACTGTGAATGCTGTGCATTTATATGTATGCATCCATGTTCTTACAAATCCCTAATTTATATTACTGTGAGATATAGTGAAAGATCATTTTTCTTAAAGGGACTTACTTTAGGCCAAAGTACTTTAAAAAGTGATGAGGATTTATGAAATGGGTTTTGTTGTGCAGTTGAATACTGATCTGGTTTATACGACTATGTCGGATAATTTTGTGAATTGACAAGGTAAACATGTTATATGAATTATTGGGAACAATGATAGTTTAATAACAAAGGACGATAGCTAAAAGTTGGAATTGATCTCTTATAAGATTATGCATGTATTATGATTATGTATATGAGAACAATAAATTGTGCGATGCATTATGTATTTTATGTGTGGCATGACATGAGATACACATGTATGAGAAGTTTACATCTATTGGTTTGCCACTCAACTTATGTAGAGCGTGTGTTTGTTTTTGAATGACTACACACAGGATTAGGACCATTAGGTTGTGAGGTAGCTGCCCGGAAGGACAGGCATGGACGAGCCAGCAGTGATAGTGAACGCGCACTAAAGGTTTATTATTGAAATTATGAAATGTTTTTAATAATTTGGCTTTCGCCACGAAGAAGAGTTCCATTTTTGATATCAAGTAAGGAACTATATCTTGCTTCGTGGATACTGCTCATAACAGAAATGAATTAAAGAGGAAGATGACAACGATTATGGGAAGTCTTATGAGTGTGGACACTGCTTTCAGTTATTTAGAGAAAATCTAGGTATAATAAATCAATCATTTTCATTCTAATAAAGTAACCAAAACCATTACCTGATTAGTCACTATTCACTAATAGACTAAAATCATATAGAAGGACAGAGGGTTGACTAAAAATAATACTATTAATGTCACTGAAGTAGTAGATCTTGTGCCACAAGCTTGGTAACTAAATAACTAATTCCAATGCATTACTGCATAAGTAAAAGCATTGAAAGTTTTCCATCACAAATAGACTAAAATCATATAGAAGGACAGAGGGTTGACTAAAAATAATACTACCTCCGTTTCTCAAAAGAGTTCCTCTTTTGATTTTGGGGGAAAATAAGGAAGTGTTAAATTGTAGTTGACTTTCCAATTTTGCCCTTGATGTGATGGATAAAAGTAAGATGTGATAGTTTAGTTGTTAGTGAAAAAGTATGATATGATAGGTAGGGTATGAAAAAGTAGGGGTAAAAGTGGTTTTTTAATAGAAAGGGGAAGTGTTTTAAGAAAAACAAAAAAAATGAAAGAGGAAGGGTTTTAAGAAACGGAGGGAGTACTATTAATGTCACTGAAGTAGTAGATCTTGTGCCACAAGCTTGGTAACTAAATAACTAATTCCAATGCTGTACTGCCTTTTACTGCATAAGTAAAAGCATTGAAAGTTTTCCATCATCTCCGATGGAGCCAAAATTTCACCATTTTTTTGGCTTTGGGGTGTGATGGAATAAATCAAAATGGATCTCTAAACTGTCCGCGCTTCTTTAATTAATGAAGTAGCAGTTAGTCATGCAATGCAACTTTCGACGTTGAGCCGGGGGTCTCTTTGGAAACAGCCTCTCTACTTTCGAGTAGGGGTAAGGTCTGCGTACACACACCCCCCAGACCCTACTCTTGTGGGATTTAACTGGGTTGTTGTTGTTGTAGTAGTAAAAGCATTGAAAGTTCCATACCTTTTTTTCTTAAGAGAAATACTACCTATCACAGCAGAAGGCACCAAGATATGTTTGTGGTAGCAAAGCATCGCGGCGAAGTTAATTTATCACTATCATTACTTGTTTCTGATTGAATTTGTAATGCAATAGTGAAGCTAATCATTAGTTTACTTTTTACCTTATTTAATTATGGACCAATTGTACGAAGTATTAGTTGTTTAGTTTTACCTACTTTACAATAAGAACAACAATAATCCTACTGTAATCCCAATTTCATTATGGTTTGAGATGTCAAGATGTTTGCAACCTTATCTTTGAGAAATAGAGAGATTCTTTCTGTTAGACCCTTGATGCACTCCTGCATTTACTGTCCAAAACTTCGTAGAATATATGAAGCCAGAGAAGTTTGTTATGTCATTTTGATGTAGTTTATTATTTAAATAATTTAGGAAGATCAATTAATAGGTTAGCTATTGGTTATTTAATTCCATAGTTCCCTAGTTTGTAGTTTGGAAAGTCTTGTAAATGCTATGAATATGAGGGGATTTGAATATATGATCTCAAATAGAGAGTTAAATCGGCATTGGGAAAGGTATGGAGAGGAACCCAACAAATTCCTCCAAGGGAGTTGAGAGTTTCAATAAAAACTCTAATCTTTTTTCTATTCTAAATTATTCCCACTATAGGATATTTTTAACTTTTGATGATCTCGATCTCTCCGCATTGGCACTCAAAGAGATTCCAATTTTACAATCTCTTTTCAACAATGAATAGTAGCTATCTATAAAGCATCTAAAGATATGAGTTTATTGATCATTGTCATCAGTTAATCGCTATTTGCAATTGCATTTGCTCCGTAACATTTATCACAATTTCTTACGTTGGCATTTTTAAAAAGGAAGAAGAATAAAGTCTGTACTCTGAAAATTGGGAGATGTTACGTGATTGCTCCCAAAACAAAACACTCTGAAAATTAATTTGGAGTTCCCCAAGCCACTTTTGTGACACCTGTGACTGTGAAGGGATCTCCCGCTAGTTCCACTTTGGCATGGATTGGTCAAAGATCCCATCCCTGGTTACAAGAGTGCTCATGGAATTTCACATTGAAGTATTTGAATGAAATATTCCTTTTTTTAAATAGTGAAATTCCATAGAATATTTATTCCTAGTTTTTAGTTTAAGTTATTGTAATAATGATGATGATGATGACAACGATGGTAGTGATGGTGATGATGATGTTGACGATAATGATGATGGTGATGAAATATGGGCCAATATTGAATACCAAGTCTACGGGCCAACTCAGTTGCTAATAATTTTCAAATGGCTGTATAAATAAAGTGCTTATTATTTCTAACCATATTACCCTAGTTAATCTTATAAATTACACCTTCAATTTTTCAAACTACCAAAATACTTATATTAAAACAAGGTTCCTTTATATCCTTTATTTCTACTTATTTTTACAATTTTGCTAGATTTGTTCTCCTTTTATGAAAGTTGATGGAATCTTAGAGATCTGGTTTTTCCTCACCATTTATTGCACCCCTTATATTTGTACTATATCATATTTAGAAAGAAAGTGCAATTAGAAAATAAAAAGAAATTGTAGCGGTGGAGTAAGTTTTGTTTATATTTCTTGTTTTTGTTTATTTATTGTACCAACCCGGAGTATTTGTTAATCCCTTTTAGGAAAGAGAAAGTAGAGAATTCTAGTGCACGAGAGATAAATATATCACATCACATATAATATTTGAATAAATAATTGAACATAGACTTTTGTTGCAAGCTAGTTTCCTTATCAACTAATTCAAAATTGTTTTTCTGATCTTCCAAACCTTGAACCATCCCTTGTGATCTATACTGGTAAAAGTTAGTTCAAGTTTATGCTCTTAAATGAAATGGTGATCCTAATGTGTATGTGTGAGTGTGTGGTATAGAGAAAGAAGTTAAACTTCATTGTATCTATGAAGCGTGGGCACGAGTGTGAGTGTGTGAAACGAAAATTTCTAGAAACACGAACCC